CATTACCTGGGAAGAGACAAAACCACCTTTATTCTCTTCCTTTTCAAAAATTCTTAGCTATAATCAATTATTTATTTTTCCTGATAGAATCAATGTAATCATCCAAATAAACTTTAGAATCAATGTATCAGTTTTCTTAAAAAATTTATTTGGGATTTGGGTTAGGTCTATGTCAAACTCTTAATTATTTGAAATGAACTAATATTTTATAAAACTTAAATACAACTTCAAGAAGGATAAGTTTTTCCAGGAATTTGATTTTTTAAAGTACTTCTATCAGCAAAGTTTTAGTTTTGCATTGTTTTGCTTTGTTTTCACATAGGTCCATACCATAGCTTGACAGTTTATTTTTCTGGATATTATATCTTTTTACTCTTCGGATAAGTTATTAAATTGTTGTTGGCCTAAAGGAAAACTTAATTTTTAATGTTGCTCACATAATCAGACATTTAACTGAATTATCTTACTAAGAGTTTTATAGGTCATTCTTTTGGATTTTCTAGATTTATAATTACATTGTCTGTGCTCTTTTCTAATAGGTTTATCTCATTGTCAGTTTCATGTCTAATTGTGTTTATTGATATTTCAGTTTCATGTCTTCATACATTAACAGGGGTATCTAGAATAATATAAAATAGTAATGATAATAGCAGAGACTCATAGCTTATTTCTGATCTTAATGGGAAATAAGCCTTAATTTTCTTATCTGTAAACTGAGAAAGTTGGACTAGATGACACCCAAGTCCTTTCTGAGTATTAAATTCTATGCTTCAAGTTCTAAAAGTACATGACATATCTATATTTTCCTACCCAAAAGTGGTATGGTACCAGCTCATTTTCTAACTGAATGGTAGCACTTTGTTTCTTCCCAACTAAAATCACACTGTGACTATGGAGAATCATAGTCTATAAAGATAAATAAGTCATATTCATCATGTATTTATTTATATACTTTCAAGTATGATTTACTCTTCTGCATCCCCCCTACTTCCTTGAAAGCCCCTTGCTAACTAGTCTGATTCAGCTTTGTTTTCCTTATTCCTTTCATTCGAAAAGCATTAGCACTTATAATGGGCCAGGGACAGTATCTTGCCTGTCATAGGCAGTCAGTGTTGAATGTGTGAATCCCAATCCTCTAGACACTAATTCCACCAATAAGGACATTACGATTAAGACAGATTAAGTGACTAACACAAGGTCACTCAGATGTGGTCATTAGCCACATTTAGACCACACTGTGTGGACTATAGCCACAGAGCCAAGACTAAAATCCAGGCATTTGGTAAAGCCAGTGCAAACCTGGCCTTAAGAAGGGCATTATGCAGGTAACTATTCAAATCACTTGAAGATTTCATTTATCTGAAAGTCTAGTAGCTGCCTGTAAACTCAAAGCAAAATAAATGGAACAGAATTTGATTCTTCCGTGTTGCAGTATAAGCCAATGGAAGTATTCTAAATTCATTCAAATTCCTAGAGCTTAAAATAGTTTGTACAGGATGGGTATCCTTTTTGTTTGGGAAAAGAGGATTTAGGAGAGTCACAGTGGAACATTCAGCCCTTTATTCTATAATAGCAAAGAAAAGGAGACAAATGTTCAGAGTTAGCATAATCAGGTGGCTTAGCGTTTTCTGCCTAAATGCTCAGAGAGTAGGACCTATGATTCCACCCACTCTGAGGCAAAACAAGCAACATGGAAATGAGTTCCTATTGCTTTGGAAAGAACACTCAAATCTAACGCCTTGGGAGAACAATGGCTACATTTCTTAAGATGAGTATAAAAGAAAAAAACTATAGCTTGGTATGTCTTAATACAACAGATAATCAAATTGACAGCATAAAAATATGCTACCAAAATAAAAGTTCTTTGCTCACCTGGAATTGTTAACCATTCAATGTAAATTCTGCACTTTTATCCTCAAGTGACATGTGGCACTAATTTATTTCGTTATGCCTATTCAAATATCTAATGGAAATTTTTGTGGACCCTCATCTTTCCAAACATAAATACCTGGGAGTTCTTTCTTTCTATGTCTCAGTCTTTAGGACTGAGCAACCTGAAATTCCATGGAATGCTTTTTCCCTTGTGTTGAGATCAGAATCACTGTTCTTATTTGGTGAGAGAAAAGCTTATGTTTATCTCTGTCAATACTATGCCTTACCAACCAGTAGGGAACCCTAGCCTCTTCTGTTTTCCCTTACTTCCTCATTAACAAATCATACACAGTTTAGGCACAGAGGAAAAACTGTGCCAACTGTCAGAAGACTTGGGTTTGAATCTTGGTTCTGCCCCTCATTAGTTCCACAATCCTGAGCAAATCATCTCATTTGTGAAAGAAGTTCAGCAATAACTATTTCCAAAGATTGTTGCAAAACATAAATAAGATAAAATTTGCAAAGTACTTTATATAAAATAAAAAATGTTAAAAAAGAGAGAAAGACATCCACAGAATATTTCAAGGCATCATAGTTTATAATACATTATAAAACATCAGTGAGTAGTTTTGTAAATTATAAGAAATTATGCATAAGAAAGTTTTCAAACAATAAAGTGCTATGCCATGATCTCAAATACATAAAAATATATAAGTATATATATGAATGCTATCTAAAGATAAGTGGTATTATTTGGAGCACAAAGGAACTCAGAAATCAATTATTTTAATCCCCCCATTTTATAGAGCAGTGCATATTTGACAGGCAAACTGAAGCACAGAGAAGGTCAAGTACTTTCTCCAAGGTCACATAGCTATTAGTGGCAAGACCAGAAACTGGGTTTGGACTATTACAAATAGGTTTTCTGCGTATCACTACACATTAGAAGTAAAAGGAATGCTAACCTGGGGATCTAGCTTTGGTCTCTAAAAAAATGAATCTTTCAAATCATTAAATGAAAAATGCCAATGCACTTCAAAGAAAGAATGTATACAGAATATCCTTCCTTCGTGAGGACATATGAAACTGCACATGTGCAGATGGTAAGCCACTATGCACATTTATTATTCATTTAGGACATAAAAGGAATGCTATAAAAGCTGACCATAGCTCTTCTGACAAAGAGCAGGATTTACTACAGACTTTATAATTGGATACAAGCATGAGAGGTCCCCAGAATCAAAGATGAGCCAGTAGGATACAGTTTAAATAGAGCCCACTCTGACCACAGCTCCAGAGGGCCCAAAGCAATTTGTGGTGTTGTGGTCACATGCCGCTACTTCAAGTCAATTTCCCACAACTTGACATTTCAGTTTCCTGACCGCTATCCAAAACAAGGGTGGATTTTGTGCATTAAACTCCCCTTGCTTCATCATAGCTAGGTTTTTGGAAAGAGAGAAAAAGAGGCTCGTAAAAATTAGTGGGGATTTAGGCTGGTGATTTTGTATATTGTTAAAGTACTGATGATGAGGAGTGTCAAACAACCAAGTCCCATCTTGGCTCCAGTATCTTTGGGACTGTCTGGCTCAGTCTTGGTAGGATTAGGATCAAGAATGTCTCAGAAAGAGACTCTAAAGCCAACTTCTAGGCCATGTCAAACAGACACACATGGACACAAACACACACATATATATATACATATATACATATATACATATATATATATATATATATACATAGAGAGAGAGAGAGAGAGAGAGAGAGAGAGAGAGCATTTTAGCTCTAGTCTATGGGACCAAATCTAGAAATGACAAATCAAGTGCAGTGGGAGTTTTGAATCATACCATCTACTATATTTCAAATCCTTTATGTACTCGCTTATAGCTACTAACAATAATAGAAAAAACTAATATTCATTTAGATTTTACAATGTGTTAGGCATTCTTCTAAGACTTTAACAGGCATTTATTAACTTCTCACATAATCCTATAAAGTAGAAATATTATTTTCTCCATTTTAACATGAGAAAACTGTGGCACTGGAAGGTGGAGCCCAAGGTTATGGAGCTAGTAATTGATAGAGTAGAATCTGAATCAAGGTATCCAGAGCCAGAGCAGTGGCCAAGAGGCACCATCTCTATAGATCGCCTCAAATATTCTTCCTTTTCTTACCCCAAATCAACCCAATTCTAATTGATCGGGTTGCATGAGATTATACTATAGCTCACGTGTTCCAAAGAAAAACATTCCTAAGAAACCGAATTGAATCAAGAAGAAAATAAAATGCATTTATTGTAGTTTTGAAAACATAAACATAAAGTTAAACAGATTAAAGAGCTTAGTTGCTTCATTTGTAACAGATGCAGCAGATCACAAGCAGTTAGAGCAAGACATCTATCTCACCGTTGTAGTTTTAAAACAAACAAAAACGATTGCTTGAAACAAAGGCTTTTGATGAAATGGCTTCATTAACCATAAACTCTCATCTTACCTCACATATAATGAAATGGGTACAACCGTATTGAGAATAATAATATATGACCAGAATGTTAAGAATCCTGAGAACACAGAGCTCTTCTCTCCTTCATTCCAAAAGAGGAAAGTTCTGAACTGGTCCCCAACTTGATTCTCCCAGATTGAATTTGCTATTCCAAGAATAATTCCCAAGCATACCAGAAACCCAAAAATCTGAAATAGGAATAGAAGTCTGGTTAAAGTTAACTTGAACACAAAATTAGTCATATTAACATGATCTAATTACATGTCTAACTTCAAGAAATTGTCCTTTGAAAAGCAAGTTATACAAACCTCTTCTTAATTACCATTAATCATATGAACAAAATTTAACATTTTTATGGCAGGAACTCAACTAAATATTTTACATACATTTTCTCAATTCTCCCATTGACTCTCTGAGATAGGAACAATTATCCACACTTTACAAATTAAAAACAAAACAAAATAAAACAGAAGCACAGAAATATTACAAGAGTACTTTAAAAAGTTTGTGGAAAGATAGGATTAAAAGATAATATGAATCTTTCCAAGAACTTTTTGAAGTACCCTGGTATATAACTCATCTATGGTCACATAGCTAACACTTTCACATCCTCAATCCCTGATAAGTACATATATTTAAGTTGCTTAAGTAAAGAAGACCATATGCCCTGATTTGCCTTGGACAATCCCAGTTTACATCTACTGGCCAGGTGTAAAATTAATAACGTTCCTTTTCACCTTCAAAGGTGTCCTGTTCAGATGATAAATTATATGGTCACCCAAGGCATAAAAGCAAAAGGAGAAAATATCAGTGATTAAGAACAGTCTCAAACTAGTCAATTCTCTGACTATGGATCTGGCTGCACAATTCTTACTAAGGTCAACAAGAAATATAAAGATTGATTAAAATACTCATACTTCAAGACATTTATATTTCCTTTGAGATTAAAGAAAGTGGGAAGCAACCTGAAAACTGTTAGGAGTCTCATATTGTTATTAGTATCAGTATTAGAAAAACACATTTTGTAGGTGTAGCAACTAGAGAGACAACAATGTCAATCTGCTGTGAGTCCAAATTCTCAGCTTTGGAAGGACACAAACTCAGTGAAGGTGGTAAGACCTGAGTTGAACTAGATGTTATGGAGACTTTGTTCTGCTAAGTGTCGCACTATGTTAGGAACTGAGACCAGCCACTGTTGATGGAGGGGTGGGGCTAAAAATCAGGAATGAATTTCCTTTTATTTCCTTTTTCCTCCAAGAAACAACATTCAGAAGTTCTTGGGCTGCTTTCTTTATTCTCTCATGAATATAAAAAGCACATAAGAAGATAAAGTCAGGAAAAACCTAACTAGGAACATATTAGAGAACTGTGTATTAGAGAAAAGTAGAACAGTGAATCCCCAAAATCTTACCAATTTGGTACCTATATCATAGTATCCTCTTTTTTTCTAATGGCTGATACTACAAATTAATTGAATTGAATTACTTTAAGGGCATTAGAATTGGTGATACTTGACATTAACTGCCCTGATTGGGCTTCTAACTCCCCAATGGATCATCTTATTTTCTAGTACAAACAGGTGGGACAGTTCCTGCTTCATGACCAGTAATTTTACTCTGCAGTGGATGGATATACAATCTCCATGCAAGCCTCAGAAGTGGGATCAGGACCACTGAAGTTGGCAATTCTAGGAGGGGAGCACAGGTTTCTTACAATCATGTCCCCTTGGCTTCTTGGACTCTGTACCAAAGGGACAGGTGTAGCTAGAGGAAAGCACAGGTCTGAGGGTGACACTGAAAGTAAAACATAGAGCCTGGCCAATGTTTTGTGCCCAGCAAGTGTTATCTTCCTTCTTTCCTTATGCAGAGCCCAACTATTACATATGAGTTAAGCAAATATATATTGAGTTCAGATTCTTTATGACTGTTTGTGAGTCTGCGATGGAATGCATGGGGAAACATGGCTCAAAGTCACCGTTGTCATATTGCAGAGTCACCATCTTCAAACTTAACACCTCCATAAGGAGTCAAAGCAATATTACACCAAGAGTCAGATAACAATCCTATCAACAGTATGAGGTAGCACAAGATTAACTAACAAAAGGATGGGATGTGAGCTCCGTGACTGTTTTTGTAAATGGATGGTAGAGAAAATAATTTCAAAAAATTCAGATGAGAAAAAAAATCATAGGAGAAAGATAACCACGCGGTAAGGAAGGTTAGAAGCCTCTATGAAGCTAACAAAAGGATGGGATGTGAGCTCCGTGACTGTTTTTGTAAATGGATGGTAGAGAAAATAATTTCAAAAAATTCAGATGGGAAAAAAAATCATAGGAGAAAGATAACCACGCGGTAAGGAAGGTTAGAAGCCTCTATGAAGGAGAACTGTTGTTACTTGGTCCTCAGGATTCACAAGCAGACCCCCTACATAATCTGTACAGCCCAGTGCAAAATGAAAACTCAAAACCCTTTGTTCAAAAATTATTAAGAATTTCTAGACAGCAACAGCAGATCAAAAAGCCAAGCATAAGGCTCTTCTGAGTATGGTCTTACACACCCATGAAGCCAGCCCTGTCCACAAGCCATCTCGAGAGCACTTGAGTAAAGGTAATACAACAAAAACATCAAACAACCTTAAGATGATGTTTTCTTTTTCAAAAACAAATCCTTGGAATACAGAGAATTCGCAAGACCATGAAGGCCTGTGTGAGCACTAACCTACCTCTCATGATAAATTCTATCCCTGATTGAGAAATCATCATACTCCAGGAAATAGAGGACAGTGTAACTGAGCCCCATATTTAAATCCCCAAATTCAAACTCCACAAGGAGAATGTAGGCTTCTGGAAGATTCCCAGCAAAATATAAGAAATATATTAAGATAACAATGACTACTGATATTGCCTAATTTTGTTCTAGTAACTTACCCACAGTACTAGAGTATTCATTAATCTATCAATGCTTGTCCTTTTAAACTTTGTCTTACCACTGTTCTGCATTAGTTTAGTGTCAGGACCTAAAAAAAAAAAGTAAATAACTTTGAAACAATTAGATTATGTATTATTGGTAGTAACAGTAGTATTAATTCCTACTCACAACAAATATTTCTGAAAGGAAAAATATATTTTTTGAAATAATTCAACTTTTATTAAGAACAAGAGCCATTACATCATATATGATTCTGACTAGTGTCTTAACAACAAGTCTGGAAACTGCAAGAGAATTGATTTTTAGAATAGGATAAATATAGACAGAACTTGTAGCTGAAAGGTTTAAGAAATGTTATTTTTCAAAATCTGTGCATGAATGTGTTTCTAGTTTGAAGCAGTTAGAAATAATGAAGTCAATAAAAGTGAGGAATAATTTGGAAATATTAAAAAGAATGCAATAACAAACACAATTTGGAACACTATGATCAAAAATGGAAAGATAAAATAAGAAACCAAATTCTAGATGTTTCCCAAAAAGATCTGAGGTGCCTTTAATGAAGAACCAGAATAACTCCAAAAAATACAGCAGCAAGTAATTTAAACT